GCATCAACAGGAGCCCTACCAGACTCTTGAGGAAGCAGGACAAGAAGAAATAGCTCTTGGGAGGGACTTTGTGGGTTGGGGCAACCTGAAGTTGGGGCACCTTGGTTAGGTATGTATCTAGTCGTGGTATAAGCCAGGCATCAGGGGTGACATTGGGGACGGGATGCAGGGCAGCGCTCGGCCAACTGCTACCCCAGGACAGTTAGAGTGGGCTTAACTGATAGAAATATCCTGGCATGGTTCCCGGGGTGAAGGTCCTTTTTCTCCACGGTTCCCGCTGCCCCGGATGCATGCCTCTTTGGACGAATGCACGGCAGTTGTGTCGTAGCCCGTCAAGTTGGCGATGTACAAACCAGGTGCACCAGGCACACACCAAACCAACCTAGGCCAAGGCCATGTCTGGAGGCTGGTCTGGAGATGTCAGGCAGGCGGGATGCCCATGGGCCAGTCAGAAGAAGGGGAGCGGTTGACGTCAATTCATCTAGATTGGGACGTAATCTAAAATCTCTCTACTTGACCGGGGCTTGGCCGGCTGAAACTGTCTCTTTGCAGCCTTCAGGCCTGAAGGTGGGTTGCTGACAGAGGAGTGGCCTCTTGACGGTTGGCGTTGATGTCGACGACCTCAACAACAAGGAGCACTTTTCCATTTTTCGCAACCAGCAAAGGACGATGGATGTGCCTTGAAAAATGAAAATAAAAGGTATTCATGGCACATGATAAGAAAGCGAGCGTGGGGAACTTGTGTGATGAATCCATTGTCCATGGTGGAGCAGAAAAAGGCCAGTTGTGGAAGATTGGTGGCATCGGACTGAGGAGGATGCAGCGGTAGAGGTCGAACCGTCAGACAACGCTAGTGTCAGTACGAAATTTACTGAAAATTTCATGAAAATATGATGATACTGACCGCACGTGATTTAAAATGTGACCTTCTTTTCTCTTTACAGGGCATACAAGCCAGTAATCTGGGCTAAAACTCTCCTATTAGATAGGAGAAAATAGTCATATTTATTATGTTTGTATTATTATATAAATAGATTCAATTATTAATAGATATTATAATATCTATTGCTTAAAATCGTTACTTTTACCTCTTCTTTTTAATTACTTATCTCCGTTTTCATTATAATACTTTTAATTTCTTACTTATATACTGTTATATAAATAGTTCTTAATTTTAAATAATTGTACTTTTCTTCATTCGTAAATTAGCTTAGCAAAGGAGCTATTTAAATTGTAGCAAAATAGGCTTACGGGCGTTCCTCTTCGAGAGAAGAGTGCCGGAGGTGACAACACCGTACTGCCGGTGCGGGTTAGCGAAGGAGACGTTCGAACATATTGTTTTGGAATGTAGAGAAACGGAAGACATATGCTTATGGGAAGACCCAACGTGGCCGACAAACATTGAACAACTCCACGACGAACTCGAGACAGTGGCGGGGGCGGAATGAATCCTTCGCTGGGCTTTGCGACTGGGACGACTGCAGGAGTACAAGCTGGCAGTGAAGATCGAACAAGCGAAGGAAGCAGAAGAGCTACTGGGGAGTTCAGATTGATCTTTGATTCGGGAGAGCGGGAGTGCGGTCGGGGGACCACGCAGCGGAATCAAAGATCGGGCCTCGGGAATGACGGTGAGGTCATACCGAGAGGAAGATAAACATCGAAGGCACGGCGTCGACACGGCGTCGTTGCAATAGAGCAGCGGAGGGTTTTCATCCGGCTATGGTACGGTTTTTCCCACCGACTAAGAACGGAAGCAGTACCGCATACCCACTGGGTAGACTATGTAAATAGTTTAGCGTGATAAGACAATATATATATATATATACTAATTGAATTAATTTACTATATGAATTAAATAATGAATGAATTGTTAACCTATTTAGTTAGTGTTAACGTTTGGCTAGTACTGTGCTTTGTAACTGCTATGTACTACCTTGTAGTATAGAAGACTGATTGAACTATTCCTTTTATAAAATCAATCTACTCAACTTTCACAGAATGTACTAGAATATAGAAGTTTTTCCACTGTATTCTGCGATTCTCTAACTTGTTCAGCATTTCTTCCAGACTAATTTGTCATTATGGAATGCACCAGAAGCTTATAAACTCGGTTCATTCCTTTCATGGTATAGTGCTCCTACAAGCACTTTTATGATAGCAGCCTTGCAGTTGTGCCTCTCGACTGCCATCTCAACTATATAAGACCACTTGAGCGACCGAATTGCCAGCTTCGGTTACTGTATCCTTTTGCAAGGACATGGTCTGGTTAGTGTAGTGGTCTGCCACCGCTGTGACATTTAACCGAAGCTAAAAGGCTACGAGTTTGAACTTTGTAGTTGGAAAAGTCCTCGGATTTTTCGGGTACCCTTATATAAGTTCTCTTTAGCCTTAATTGGGAGCTCCCGTTCGAGTTTGATCGGCTCCTAGGAACCGTCGCAGGCTGGCCCGCTGTCTTGAGAGGGTCGAGGTTCGGGGCGAACCTCTCAATATAAGAGGGGGAATGTGATAGCAGTCTTGCAGTTGTGCCTCTCGA